CTTCAAGAACTTTTTTTCAAACTTGTCATATACGTATAGTCGTACCAAAAACTTTACGTTCATAGCTTCTCTTTCCTTTGCCTGACAATTTCCGTCGGCCACTTAACAGATCCACCTGAGTAAACACTTGGTATCTTTTCTCATCATATTTTTGAGAGGACTGAGGAGAATTTTGGGTTCCTAGAATCATTTCAAAATGTATGAAGAATATAGTACTGTTACACTAATAACTATCAAGTACTAGCTATCAGTAAATCAGACCTGATTGAACAGTAGGATTATCGTGAACTGCTTTTGGGTATTTAGATCCGTTTACGTAACTCCCGTTAGACTATTGGGGATTCCCCGATTACCAGATTGAGGATTTAGTCGAGCGGCCCTTGTAAAATAGGATTACAGTTTGAATCTCATGTCGTATCGCAATTTTATGATTCCCTTGATATTTATACGATTAGAAAACATTTCAGATTTAACAGCAGATAATATATTGAGCAGGAAGGTCAAGTCTATGTGATATTTCACGATTGTTAATCACGTCTGCATTTATAAACTGGGAATACTTTAATCTAAGGAAAAAGTAACGAAGATACTCGGAGAGATAAGAAGAAGAAAAAAGGAGAAATCCATAAAGTGAGAATGAACGGCCGGTAAAATTATGGCGAGCACGTGGTAGCAATACGAAAGAACAGATAAGTTTTATTGTAACTAGTTTCCTCGAGGATTCCTGCCAGAAATTTTCGTGAGAGGAATAGAACCCAGACAGCGAATGATAGAGGGAGATAAAGGATAATAAGAAGAAAATTTAATCCTCGCAAGAAGTAAATTTTCTTGCCTAACGTTGTTTTAAGTAAGATTGCACAAAAGTGCTAGGTAACTCTTACAGATAGGTATACACCGAAATAATTAAAATATTGCGCAAGCTTCGTTAAAAATACAGCTAACTTTCCTACTGATAATAATAATATAATCTGAAGTTCTGGCAGAGATCTCATTATTAAATACATTTTAAGAACTATTATAAATATATATAAACTCCTCACGGAAATTGACAAGGAAACAACGATAGATATCTCGCCGACTTCTTCATCCTTTCCCTTAATTACGCATACAGGCATATACAATCGGACCTGCGACACTGACAGATTTCTATGTACGAAGTTTCAGACACTGACCGTTTTACATTAACCTTTCTGTCATTCAATCGCGTTTGAGCGCCAGGGACGCAGTTAGAGACAGTGGTCTCCCTAGACGAATTAATGGTTCTACAGTAATTTGTAATACATAGAGGGTGCATGCACAGGTAGCCTCACGGTTTAGCGACAGCACTGATACCGCTGTCAGTTTGAAAGGTCTTCAAACCCTCAGTGCCGCAGGTTGGTCAGTGCCGTAGGTCCGGCTGTAGTACTATTCAAGATAGTTTTGGATGTAAAGCAGCCAACATTAGAGAAGCTAATCTAAACAGTGAAGGAACTCTGGGTGTTTAGGCGGATAGGGCAGATGCTAACAATTCGGTTAACCCTTGCCAGAAAGTCAGTACCAGCAATGTTTGCCCTGGAATGATATACGTATCGTTAGGTATACATTATATATATAAACATATGCGGACTTGCGATGAAAGCAGAGAAGGTTTAAGTGGCATACCTTTCTCCTTTCATAGTTCCAATAGCTGTTATCTAGCAGGAGCCAAAGAGTTTAGGAAACATTGTTGTTTAGAGTCCGTACTATTCAAAGCACCATAAAGATCAGTGTATGCCTTACAAAGAATACCATGAATAGTCCAGGATAAAGTAGAGTCTTAACAGGCCTACTACGTCATTCTACGGAATACCACACTTATGTGTTATCTCTCCTATGGATTGCGGAAATACCTTGAAAAGGCTTAACGACCTATGTAGACATTATACCCTGTTGTAGAAAATCTGTAACAGAGGAAGGCACGAAAATAAATTAAAGTGCCATTTTCTATAGCGCATCGACTAGCCAAGTTATTATACTCCATTGAATTTCGAAATTGGTTGGAATATGGAAACATTTGTTTACAATATTTATTGGCGTACGGCAAATGAGGATATACGTATACATAACGATAACTCTTTAAATTGATAGCAGGCTTTTCGACCTGATCTTACCTTCTTAGTTCAGGCTGCTCGCAATCAGACAGATTCAGCGGTTCTCAGACAGCCTTGACGGCTCATGGGTATGAAGGAAAAGGGTAGAAATGGCATCATGAATGAGAAGCGAAGAGTTCACGGATGTAAGAACACAGAGTATAACGTGGGAGTATGCTGACTTTACGGCTTTGATGTTTAATGACAAAGGGTCGTCATCTACGAAGAGTGCTGACTTCTAGAGCTTTCTTTTTATTTTTTTTTCCACCCTTTTGCCCAGCTATGTAGCAAAGCAATCTAGTCCAGGAATGACGGTCCCTGTTCCATCAGAAGACCACCAGCTTCGGAAAGGATACGAAGGGCATGCACCCTTAAAGGGGAGCCTTGAAACGGACAAGTGGCATTTTCCGACACCTGTCGTTCCCTTCCAACTCCCTCCATCTCCCCTTGGATATAATAGGATCAATGATCGCCATCCCGGCTCTTAGGACTCCTATGGGAAACTGAAGAAATTGGTATAGGCTGCGGAGAAACAGAGTGGAGAGATTGTCAAATATCAATAACAATCGAACAGCGTTTCATTAATCAGTCGATGAGCAAGGATAAAACAAAAGAAAATAATTGAAAACGAATAGATGAAATTATAGAATCAGCGGAACTATGAATTGTTCGCCAGACTGGAAAATTAGCAATGGACTTGGTATAACATCTAAAGCCCAAAGTATTTTAATCCTCTTACCCTATGCAACGCTGTAACATCTAATTACATGCTTATGAGCCTGATCAATTTGACTAAGAATTATATAAATCCGATAAAATACATTACTGAGACATCTTTGCATTCAAAATCATTCCAAGTCATAATGATAGTCGACTCGATAACAGGTATCCCTCTTCGGTTCGAATCGCCAGTACGTCCGTCTCTCTCCCACTCACGTAAGTACCCATAAGTCCCTCTCTGTCGCACTCGTAGGAGATATAGGAAACTCCGAAAAGTCAAAGACCCAGGACTTTCGATTTTCATCCACGTTAGACAGACCCATTAAACCCTAGATGACAGGCTGACAGCTGTCAAATCCAATTTCTATATTTGAACAGAATAACCTCGTACATATAAATTGCGTAAGGCATGTGTAGTAGTTTCGATGTCGAATGTACCAGTTGGCGAAGGCGGTTTTACAGTTTGCAAAGTGCATCGAACAACTCAAGGTTATGTACGTCTGCAGTCTGTCTCTTGGATGGTTAATGGCTGACAGAAGAAGGCACTTCTCCTTAATTACACAGCGCTGACTTATACATATACCATACAAGCAAGAGCGATTCTGCCAGAATATATTCCACCGTCATCTACAAGCACTCTTACCCACGTTTACATGGATGGACGGAAAAGTAAAGCGCACTTACGTAATTTCGAAACTGAGTACCTACTCTCTGGGAATATTATCATTTATCAAGGATCCATTGTATCTGCTATTGTTCGCAAGATTACTTCGCTTGTATTGTGTGTCCACGGGTACATGCCTAAATGTACGTAATATACCGTTATGGGTTTACCATTATTTTGATTAATTGTATTTTATCAAATCACGAACTAAATGTATTAATCTTTCAGTCATATTTTCAGGTTATACACGTAGGTACTATACGACCAACATCGTCGCTTGAAAATCTAATCAATTCGGGTTTACGCGAGGATCGAATCGATTAAGTGCGATGCGTGAACGTATTCACGATGGGGCATATGTGCCTTTGTAATACTGTAAATCGTAGGTGGAAACGCAAATCAGACATATATGTTCCATGGTGTATCCGTGGGTTGTTCTATAGATAGGCGACGTGGGGATGGATCACTGACGGTGGTTCGTGCCTTGTTATAATTTACATGTCACTACGCGTGTTGCCGGGCCGTTAAAGGCTACCGTTCTCTATTTTCTGGTATACCTACGATAACAGCGATACTATATATCCTGCATTTATATATGTGTATATATATATATATTAGATTAAACGAGCACGTCGACAACGATCAAAGGAGTCTAGTATGGAAAGCATCGTGCTCACGAGTAATTAACTCTTTCCTATCTGTCTGCATAAATGGTGGGAAAGAATTGTGAAGAAGAAATGAGAGAAAAGAATAGAAGAATGGGAATAGAGTATACTGAATTCTATTTGGAATAATTATGCGTAGCAAATTGGTGGTAGCAATTAAACAATTTGTAACGAAGTGTTATTGGATTATTCTGGAATATCCATGGAACTACGAGGAGACTTGACTTTTGAATTCAGAATATTTTTATATTCAGATGAGAATGGGTATCGTTAATTAATTTAAGTAGAATGCGATATGCGCGGTATATCGTAGCCGTATAAGCATATTTGCGAATATATTACATTCGAGCGATCGATTCAGTCTATTGAAGGTTAAGGTTCTCAATCAATATTCGCCTAATGATAATACAGTGTGTGCTTAGTTTCCCGTGGGATATCGAGTATCCGCTCCGCTCTTCTTGTTTCGCTCTCATTACCACTCTCTCTTTCTCTTTCTACAAACTGTATTATACATATGGTTGGCGTGGACACGTATAATGTAGACTTGCCCAGAGAAAATCCAAAGGAAAACGTTGAAGCGGTTGGTGGTGCCAATCCGGTGTAATTTATGATATGTAATTTACAGGTCAGAGAGCACGGACGTGGCCACTCGAGACACCAGTCAAAGAGGGAGACTAATGACAGTTAATGATGGCGTAAGGGCACCACCAGCTAATAGTATTTAAGGCAAAGAACCATTTAAAGAAAGAAATTGTTAATTAATTCCATTAAAAAATGATGGTTCTGCTAAAAGTACTGTTTTAATTAATTAATCAATTTTCGTTTAATTATAAATAACGTCACCTTTCTCTCGTAATCCTGATTTGGTACAGCAAACCATGGCAATTCAGAAACGTGTCCACGGAAGCTTTCTTCAAAGTCGAGGACATCGGCTACGTTGCTCCAAAGCACCACGTGAATGACTTCGAAACGTTTTCTTTTATTCTGCTTTTCTTTATCGTTTGATGTCTCCTTCTCTTGGGCACTAATAATTGAAGAACCATTTACACTGCCATACAGCTCGCTGAGCTGCCTAGTGAAGTCATCGCAACTTGCGCCTGGGTTAATGAAACTAAAGTAAAGACCGATCACCTCGCAAAGAGACTCGTCTTTATCCCCAACTAGAACACTGTTCACATCACGTTGTTTGTTGCTTTCTAAATTCACTTGGTTACACTGTACCAGATGCTTACCAAAGACCCTCTGCTGCCAACTGGCAGCCTTCACGAGGGAGGGTTGTTTAGCGCTTGGCGACGACGACGGGGATAACTTGCCGGACGTCGCCATTCTACTTGTCTCAACCTTACTCTGAACACGGTCCGCGCTCGACTGACGCTCGGCGTCGCGACGCGGTATGATTCTACTGCTGGAGCCCGTCGGTGGTACTGTTGGCAATGTTGACTAGCTGCTTACACCAATGCACCTCCTTAAAGAACGTTTGAATTAGTATTAATGAATCTGTGATTTTTTGAATAAATTTCTTTTAATTATTTTATATACTTGTTCTTACAGTATTCAATGCACTGAATGGATGACTTTATATATGAATAATATAATTTTACCTTGGACGACAAGGAAAATCAAATTTATTTAAATTATTAATTCAGGAGTGTTTCCTCAAGAGAGAATACTTTGAACATGGTAAAGTACGTAAATACTTCCTGTAAAATATTACAGGTCTCTGCTGTTACACACGTCCCGTTAAAATATTTCAGGATTCAAAACGGAGGGTTGTGAAACACGTGCGAAGAAGCCATTCCTTTTTTCGGTCTGTTTATTTAATATAGATATCGTGCCTTGAAGACTATCTGAAAAACGCGGGGTTAACGTATCACGGAGTTAAAATTATTTGTATCTTTCTCTCCTGGATAAGACTTACTTCTATTTCTCTCGTTGTTCATCATCGTTCACATCGAACCAGTCGGCTAAGATTCTCGAGACAAATGTATCAAGATCGAATCGAGTCAATTAGGCAGAGTCGACAGCCTATTAATGCACCTTAAACTGTCACGATATGTTGCTGGACCGGTTTACAGCGGTTCTTTTGTCGCTTCACTTGATCCGATCTCGCAATCAAGCACGATTGGCATCATGTCCATGCATACATATATATTTTATAAAACCTTCTAGTTATTATTGATAATTCTTCAATGTATTGGCACTTTGAATCCAATTAATATGAATATGCAAAATAAAGTAACTCTAACACGCCCTTTTATCTGGAACCAAGAAATTATTGCAGTTAATATTTTGTTACTCATCATAAAATGAACATGTTTTGGTTGAACGTTTTTTACCGTCTCAAACTGATGGGCTGCTTGTAACGCTGACGGAAACGTTCATCTTGCTTGGTGAGGTCAGTCTTCGATCACAGGAATTCGGATTATTACCAATAGACGCTTTCCAGGATGCTTCAAAAATTACCCAGTATCTAAAATGTAAAGTTCGTCAGTACAACGATTGTACCGTAGTCATCGATTTTATCACCGAGGCCGCAAACAATAGAAGCCGCCTCAGCATAAATGGTTTTCATTGCTTCTCGTCTTCTCCGCATATAAATTTATCTGCGTGACTCAGCGGACGCAGACGTACAAAACGCATTGGCAGACGCTGACAAACGCATCGTTCAAAAAGCTACCTAAGAAATCATCCGTGAATTTCAGCTGCGTGCAGGTTAAACGTGCGACGCTCTTATCGTGTGAATCACAGAAAAGGTTGAATTTTTCAACATCTGCGCGTCGAGCTTTTTTATGTCTGCTTTAACCCTTCTGACGCACCCTCTACCTGTGCGGAGCCTGGATGCACCCTCTAAAAGGATGCACATCGCTTTGAAAGCTGTGCTATGAAAACGGCATTCAATTTCACTTGGTGCGACTTTCCGTTCTCCCTCTTTAGTGCTACCCCGGACGCTGCCATGGGATCTGCGCGAAAGGAGATTACAGGATCAATCTATTATGACCTGATTTCTTTATACTATAATGTATGTAATTTAGGGAGGATCGCAGAGCGGATTTAGGAAAGTTCATTTTCATCTGAATATATTCATTATACACCGTCTCGGAAATGATAGTTGATGCGTTCATTTGATTTCCATTATTTCTTATGGTAGAACCATCCTCAGGTGATGCAACAATCCTACATAGTTTTATATTGAGTGTGCCGTGTACTAGGAATTTTCTGAAGGTGTATTGAAACGTGGAGGATTTGCAGCATCTACAAGATGCAAATTTAATTCTGGATTATCACGATCAATGTAAAGCTAGTCAGCCACCTAACCTGAACTTAAGGGTTACTGAGAGGCGACAAGGACAGCCGTAAGTTGTCGAGAGTACGCGAACCGAGCTTACATAATGTGACGTAGACTGACATGAAACTTTCATTATACTGGAAGCCGTTCGTTCTGTCAGAATTTCAGACAACTAAGTCATCATGATATTAACTGTATGTTAATCATAGCGACCGAAAGTTAACCTTTAACCTCATCTTACATAATCACAGCCAGTTTAGTAGTTGATGTCTTTAATTAGATGACAGGCTTACTCTAATATAAGGACCAACCTGTAACCGCAAGATCGTCGTTTACATTTATTCATGGTTGCCTTTTTTCTCCCTAGAGATATGCAGGGCTATATTCATTCGTGTACTAAGCCACCTATATTGAATCTTTGTGTTTTATTTGTTGCTTGCCTGATCGTAGCAGTGATCTGGATTTCCCAAAAACTTTGACAGGAGGTTCATCTTTTCCCTTAAAGAAATTCTCTTCTTGGTACTCCTCTCCGTTTCTTCTTTCCTATCTTTAATAATTACAACTGCCATGGCTGAACGAGCATATCGCAAAAGCGCGAAAAATATTCTGTTGAAATCTTCTGAGAAAACTTAGAAACGAGAATTACTAACCTTTCCAGAGGGGTAAAGCTGTCAACAGAAAGATGAAATACGTATCCTATCAACTTAACATTGGATATAATATATTCACAATTTTTTATGGGGAAGTGGAGAGGGGCACTGACGCACAGACCAATTGAACACAAAAGACTTTTTAGTGCACTTCTGTCCACTTTTAAATAGACGGAGTGGAATTAGATACGAACGATGCCTTATTATAGTAGTAGCGGAGAACCTCTGCCCGCCAAAATACACGTTCGTGATCACGTTCATCTCGGCTGAGACGGAATACGCTTTATCGACGGAGGCGATAATCATAAAATTCTACTTCTGGACTCACCGCTACGATTTAGCGCTATGCTTTTGGTATCCCCTAAAACCTCATCTTTGCCTAAAATCGTAGCGTTGTGCATCTCCCTACTCATCTATGCTAAAACCGTAGCATTGTGCATCTCCCTAGACATCTTGCCATTAGTAGGCGATACCAAAAGTATGGCGCTAAATGGTAGCAGTGAGTCCGGGAGTAGGATTTTGTGATCATTGCCTCCGTCGATAATGCATATTCCGTCGTAACCGAGCTGTACGTGATCACGAACGTGTAGTTTAGCGGGCAGAGGTAATCTGTAGCATTGAACATCTCCTACTCATCTCTGTTCAAACTAGTGATGCTTTCAGTATAACATCTATTTAGTGAGCTAAGCAGTATTAAAAATTATTGCACGCGCCAAAATCCCCAGGCTAATCAAGAAATAAGTGAGTACAATTTAAAATGGATATTTGGGGTTAAGATGTCTTCATTGTTGATATTACAGACGACTACTAACCGTCGATTTCCGTTAACGAGCAATGTTTCTCAATAAAGGGATCGAAGTATAATCTTAGAGTTTAGACTGGAATAATGTTTAACTCATTTTTATTAGTGAAAAAGCTTTCGTTAAACAACTTATTACATTCATCTGAATATCATTACACAAACGAATACGCGCTGTAAATGTCAAAGATAAATACTATTGTTTCTTTCGATTTTTTAAATGCGAGTAAGTATCTGTTACATACGTGTTAAGAGAGTGAAATTTTGCAAACAATAAGGAAAATAATGAAATACAGTTCGTTGCCTGATGTGCTTCGAATTCTCACCGATCAACAATGCAAAATGCGTTCCTCTTGTTTTACAGCAAAACAAAGAAAGAAAAATGGCGTCTAGACGAAAAATTGGCCAACTAAAAATAAGAATTATTGCATTGCACTCGGGGCACGATATAACTTTGAATTTAATAAACGATGACTTCAATAATCCCAGATAGCAAAAGTAGATCCTGAGAATATTCTGAGAATATTTCAATAGAGATATTCGTATATACCTGTGATATCCGAAAAAAATGTCCTGGTAGATCCTGCGGATATGCTGAGAATCATCGAATGTATGTCTCACATGACTTTAAGAATATCCTGAGAACATTGTAAATGTATTCTGATAACATGATACAAAATAGGATAGAGAATATATTAGAAAATATTCAAAGAATGTTCTCAGTCATACATTAGAATGCATACTGTTCATTCTCGAAATGTGTAGTAGACATTATAGGAATGAAAATTTTATATCAGCAAACATAATATTACGTGTAACGGCCCATGTTAGTTGTAATTTCCTAATCATTTCATGATGTCAATTTACCAGTGAAGGTTATATAAATAAATGAGAAATTGTATCTAACTTCGCATCACGAATATGCCATCACTGTTGTTGGTCGCCGGGAAGAGAGAGAAAATGAGGTCAGTCAAATTGACGGCAATCCAGGTAGATAGCGTTTCTGAGAAAAAGCGCGATTCACGGTCGTTTCAAAAAAATCCTTACAAAATTCGTAACTTAAATTGTATGTCTAAATGTGCTAAGAAAAGTTGCAAGGACATCAATAATGTTCTCATGACATTCTGAGGATGTTCAGTATATGTATATATCGGATATCCTATATCAGTTCAGAATATTCGAATGATATCATATGCTATTTGGGATAAATATTTCATATATATATTTATAATAATTAATAATAATCATTATAATTTTTAAATCGTCATAACTGCCCTTAAAAAATGGTATACGTATATATAATTTAATAAAATTTTTTCTGCTGCTTTCTTATAGGTTTTGTAATTGACTAAATCTTCATAGATTTACGTTATACATATGAGGGAGATTCTTCCATAAATTGCGTATTACATTGCATACGCTCAAGCACTCTTTTCATATTTTATACGTACATATATAATTGTGCAGATACAAGTATATGTCTACGTATAAAATTGTCTACGATTCTTTCCCATCAGCTTCTCCGTCCATGTACCCAGCAACGACATATTTACAAAACCAAATTCTGTTTATGACGAAGTTTTAAATTCTCACTAAATACACATGTCATCTAGAAAATGTTTAATTCAGTCCTCCAGTTGGGTATTTATATATCTTCTTGAACCATTTCTCGTCCTTCCAGCTATTTATTTTCATGGCCGATTCGAAAGACCGTACGATTTTGAAGAGCGCATGCGCGAAACACAATCGTAACCGAAACACTCAAATGTCTTTTCCATAAACGATCATTGTCGCTTTCGTGTGTTACTATCAAATATTTGGATGTTATGTATGCATATTATGTACAACCACGCTTCATTGTTAAATTTTCTTTTATATATATACATATGTATACATATATTTATATATATATATTCTTTATTATTATCGCATTTATCGGTCATCCTTTATATGAAAGATGGATTTCGAGTTGTTGGTTGAAGAGCGATATTCCATGAGAAGTATATATACATATATATTTGTATATATACCATTAAATTATTATTGAATTAATCTATTAATCCTGTAAGTAGTAAATGATTCTGATTTGAAAGGAATTTCACTCATTTGATTACGTAGGCTGATAATTAGGCTTAAGTAACGAGCTAGTTTTCTGTACCTCCAGTTTGAAGATCTTAATGTTAAGCAGGGTTAAGTTATATTAAGACTATGAAAAGTAATACAGCTTTTTTTCTACTTTGTACAACTGGCATTTGGACGCTCATTTGATTAACTATTTTATACGTAGTTTCAAAGGTTATGTCTCTTATTCGGTAAGGACTTTTCTCATTTTTTCAAAATTTCTATAAGATATACGCGTGAAAAAGGAGTGTGTTTTTGAAAGCACGTTTATTGAATTCTTTTGTTAATCGCGCCGATTATTTCGGCACGAGGTATCATCCTCATGATCGACATCGTCATACCAAAATCCTAGAGAAACTCGAGTAGGACTTTTGTATTTCGTTAACAATCCGTATATTGTTGTTGCATCTATTTACATTATAATCATCGGTTTATAATGGCTATGTATACAGTACAAATAAAAAGTCACAACATTGACTGTAAGTACGTAAAAAAAAAAAGAAAAGAAAAATGGTTGTGAGAAATCGCGACGTGTCCGGGTATAATCAATGTTCTGGACGCAGAAGAACGCAATTAGACGGCGCCTAATTACGTGCGATTAAACTCACGTGTAATCACGAAATGGTGCATTTTCGTTATTACTTATTTAACATCATCATTGTTATTAATTGTAAGTGTCCCGCGGAGACATTGGGTATTGTTGTGGATATCGCGCAACTTCGTTCTACTTCATATATGTATACATGATATGTATATATATACAAGATATGTATACATATCACACACGCACACACATATGTATTCATGTGACTGGATGATGTCGGCGAGGCATTTTTGAGATCCGATGAACCGATTAAGTTTCATCGTAGTCACGATCGATAGTGGGATTCGTAATAATAGTAATTAGTTTAATTATTTTCTTAATTATCGTAGAACCCACTTCCTCTATGGTCCCTGACCTGTCCTTGCACCATGACTCACTATTCCGAAAGCAGTATCTTTTTTCTACGAAGAACTCATCTGCAACTTGATTTGCGTAGCTCAGTTTTTCATGTACTGACAAATATAGTCACAAGAGATTGTGACTCTTTTCTTTCTTGGAATGAACTTATCACGTTACACTTTTTAAATGCTAGATTTTCCGGAAGCTCACTCCCCGCCATTGACTTCGTCGTAGTGCGAGAACTTCAGGAACACCTGCTCCAGAGTGGTCTGACTGAAGCTGTACTCTTCTATGTCCAATTCCTGCTTGGCTGTAAATTTATAACGTAAGGATGTAAAGCAAGTTGAGATACAGGTATTCAAGGTGAATTTTTTTAGTTGCGAATTCAAGTCTCTTTTCACCTTTTTCCAGTTGCGTGAAGCATTCCGCGAGTGAGTTGACAGAGTGCTGGGGTACGGCAAAGACAAGCCTGTCCGCAAAACTTTCCTCCAGCGTGGCGTCAGGGAATAATCCAGCGACGAAATCCTTAAGACCAGAAATTCTGTCACCGGAAGGAGTCGTTGGTGTGCAGTCACCACCCAATAATTTCATCTCTAGAGTGTAACCGGCGCCGTAGAGATTCTTCAAGTGTTGGGTCGACCCAATACACCTCAGTTCACCTTTGACCATGATGCCAACTCTGGAGCAGAGAGCGTCAGCTTCCTCCATGGAATGGGTCGTTAAGATAGCACCTCTGCCACCCTGTTAGGACAAGAATGTTTGGAACGTTCAGGGTCATTAAGGTGGAGTTGTGAATGTTGTGAAGTAACGTAGAAATACAATGTAAATTATGCCGACCTGGAAACTGGCCAGAATCGTATCCCACAGGAACCTCTTTGAACGAGGATCCATACCGGTGCTGGGCTCATCCATGAGGACGACCTTTGGCCCACCAACCATTGCCATTGCAAAACTCAACTTTCTTCTGGTTCCTCCTGAACATTCCTGCGTTTGTTTATCGGCATGCTCATGAATTTGAAGTCCTGACATGTAGAGATCGACGACCCTGTTAATGTCACTCCAGGGTATACCACGAATAGCTGCATAGCACTCGAGATGTTCCCTGACGGTGATGTTCTTCCATTGGGCGTCATGCTGAGGACAGTATCCCATTTTGCGAAAAGCCTCGGTCATGTGGGAATTTATATTGAGACCATCAATTTGAACTCGACCTCTAGTTGCCGCTTCATCTGCGATTATTATCTTCATGGTGGTCGTTTTCCCGGCGCCATTGTGTCCTAGCAAACCGAATACTTCACCAGGTTCTACTGCCAGGGACAGATTTCGCAGAGCCAGCTTTCTTTTAGGTGCTGGTTCTTCTTCACGCTTTGAGCAGCAGCTGCACGAGCTGGCTGTACGATTGTGATACTCTTTTCTCAAATTCTAGGTTTATTTTATTAACAAACATTATTAGTTATCGAATTTATTAATTTCTTGAGATTAGAAAATAATAACACCTACCTGGACTAGGACCACTGGGGGTTCTTGTACGGAGGAGGAAGATATAAGATTGAAGACTCTTTGCCGTTCATTTTTAACATCCGCATCCTCGTGCTCGCCGACGTCTGAATTCTCCATTATCTCTTCGCCGATTGATCCGCCATTGCGCTACAAGGTAATAATAACAGTGTAATCAACTGAATGTCTGTTTAACAATTATTGTTATGACTGTTTTAACTAACCAGGAAATATTTGAAAATGTCGCTGACATTTCCACCACTTTTTTTAATGTCCAACACGAGAAGGACGAAGAACCAGAGTGGACAATGTACAAGGAGTCCAAGTGCCATTAAAATGATTTCAGTGGTCAGGTAGTCGGACATGGATAAATGATGGCAGGCAGTATTGATAGAACACATCAAATGAACACGATCGACGTAGTAAACGGCAGCGTATGGTATATACATGGTATTCAGTAATGAAAATACCACGTGTAATGGAAATGCTGCTGTACTACCTTGAAGATAATATGAAACAAATAAAAATATAGTAATATTTATATTTAATGCTTTAACATAGAATAACGAGAGGAATACTTACCGAAACCCAACATGTCAAGGATCATAACGAGAATGAACGGTATCAGTCCAAAGAACGTAGCAATATTAGGTAATATACTCTGAGCGGAATCCATTTTGTCGAATATGTAACTGAGACAAGTGGAGAACAAAATGGACGAGGGACAATAGAGCATTAATAAAACTCCAAGAGTTATTATTGCTGGAGGTTCTTGGAGAGAGGGAACATCGAAGAGGAAGATGATACCAAGAATGCAGAGACTGATGAACGTCATTAATGCGGCCAAAACGATAAAGTATGTCAGAAAATACATGGGGAACGATAAACCATTCACTCTCAGTTGATTCTTTGCTTTTATCTGGAACGAGGTAAATTCATAATGAGAACGAAATTGCATAACTTTGTTAATGTGTTGATAATTACCTCACGATCGTAGACCATATCAACGGCTAAAGTTATGGGAACAAGGACAAAATGCATTCCAATGAAAATGGAGGAGCTCCCTATGCCAACGTTAAATTCCTGTGGCTGTGAAGTTTGTTGGAATGGATGCGTACTGACTTTAATAGGTTTGATGTCCTCGTCTTTACTGTGTAATCTAGGTATCATTAAAGTTTTGATTATATTCATTACCCAACTACTCTAAAAAATAATGAAATAGCATAGTAGTAGAACATAGCAGAGGTCTTACTACTTACCTATAGAATGCATTAGACAAGATATTCATTAAGATCGGTAGAGAATGCTGCATGGTATCGTTGTAAGTTAAAGTGAATTTCATTTTGAGTAAATTGAGATCACTGATATTAATGACCGCCATGTGTGGGGCAATAGCAAGAAGGTCGTCGAAATTTCCGTCATATTCCTCTAGAAGCTTAACGTCCTTTCTTATATGATTGATAAGTGGCGATATATCGCTGTCTGTATTATTGGTATATAATATTTTTGTCATGTTCTCGTAGGTATCTGTCAAATATCCTTCGTTAGAAGGAGCTCATTACTACTCCATAGGAACACGAGATTCATTGAAAAGTACACATACCATTGTTTAATTCGAGGGACTGCATCTTTATGTCGACGGTCTGTATTCTGTTCATATAAAGACCAAGAACTACTAGAGCTAGTGGCACTACTATCGTGAAATATAGTAATTGGATGTTTCTAAATAAACGTAAAAGTCTTAATCGTAGCATTGCATAAAGGATTTGAATGAAGTTGGGCCGAGTTTTTATGGGATCTAATCCAAGGCCGAGTATTATGGGATTTTTGTCGCTGTGCACACCGTCTGGTAGATCTCCACCGCCTGTTAATTGTGTCGATAATAATTATATACATATCTCTTATTAAATATCAATTGTTCGTTTGATAATTTACAGATTATTGTTATTACCCTTCACTTGGCCATCGCCTTGCACAGTAGCACCTTCGTTCTGCAGACTCTGATAAGAAGTGCTCTTTGATTGGAGAGACAGTGATCTGCTGAGTGCACGATTTCTCACCATCTTTTTGGATAGGTTATCCATTGTGCATTCTGTCTCCTCGTCCTTTTCCAAATGAAGAAATACTTCCTCCAGGGTTGTCATCGATACTCCATAGCTACTGATACCCAATCTGCTAGCCCTGGTCTTGATTTCTTGCTCAATGGCTGAGAATAGGGGTGCGAAATTTTCCACTGAATTGTGGGGAAGTATGAAGCTCAGTTCACGACCGTGACGTCGTGCTTTTTCGGCCTTGGATACGTGTGATGTCACCAGTCTAGATATCGCGTGCTCTCTGGCATTACCTTCGAGAACCAGTCTGAAAGATTTTATTGAATTACATTATTGTATAATCTTTGAATAATTCTCATCTTTATGATACATACGTTAAGTGATAACCAATTCCAAATTTATTCTTCAAAAATAATGAACTGCCGCAGCATCTCAATTTTCCTTTGCTGATTACCGCCTTTCTGTCTGCCAATATATCTGCCTCGTCCATAAAGTGGGTTGTTAATAGTATCACTTTTCCGTGTCTTCTTGATTGTAAGAAAGACCACATCTGTCTCCTTGAGTATGGATCCACGCCAGCGGTAGGTTCGTCCAGAATTATTATCTTAGGATCCCCAATAATAGCAATTCCAACAGATAATTTCCTTTTTTGTCCGCCACTCAAGTATTTTGCAAATGTGTCTGCCTTCTCCATTAGGTCTATTCCTTGTAGTGTCTTATTTATCTATAATTATGGATTAGTTAACATATGTATAATTTTATAAACAGAATCCTCCAGATAGTTTGTAATAATAAGGTGTAACGCACTTCCATCTCAACCATGGCTCTTGGAATTCCTCTGACAGCCGCAAAAAATTCCAAATGCTCTCTTGGGGTCAACAGATCAAAGAGGATATCATGCTGAGGACATACGCCTGTCATGCTCCTAATCATTTGCATATCATTTGAATCCCTGACGTCGTATCCAAAGATCAGTGCAGTCCCAGCAGTTGGAGCCGTCAGTCCCGTCAGGATATTGAAGAGCGTCGTTTTTCCGGCTCCATTGTGTCCCAAAATTGCGGTTATCTGACCTTCGTAAATCGTCAGGTTAATCCCGTTAACAGCTTTGATTTCCGGTTTGCAACACTTTTGATAAGACTTGTACAGGTCGACGATTCTGATGGCTTCTCGACCTTTCATCTCGCGAACTACAGGTTCCACATCGCGATTTGCTTCCTCGCCAGGAATGAATGAATTTGATTCCCCGTTTGAAGACGGTGCCTTAAAATAACGCGCGTCAAGATTAAATTATTAAAAGTTATATCGTCTGATACTTTATGGTTTGTGATTAATATTTACTCTTTGAGCTTTTCGTTTGCACCAGAATCCACGAGTGAAGCAAAACCATGGACTTCTCTTTATCCCGTATTCGCCTGACAAAAAAAAATGTATTACAGCACATTTCTTTTTTATATTAGTTTATCATTAAGAGTAATAAGAGTTAAGCGTACTTGGTACAACAGAATCCAGATAGTAGGCTATGCATGCATATAGAAATATATCCAGAGTCATCATTATCAAGCTACCACCAAACGGTATTCCACCTCCAGACCAAAGATTATCAAAATTCACTCCTTCACCCTGAAGATCGAGAACCAGGGCCTGTGGAATTTTTTACATATAATACATGAATCCAAGTTTATTTTATTCCTGACCATAAGTGCTAATAATCTTGATCTTGCTAATATTCACCTTATCCATGGCCAATGCTACGCCTGTTGGACTTAGAAGAGAAACGACCCAGAAGGAAATGGAACTGGAGTCAGCGACAAAAACTTGTATGAAGTACATCAGACTCAATATTGTCACAGCGAAATTTCCTAGGACACCAGCAGTCTGTAAATATTTTTTATTATTAATATTATGCTTTTAATAATACTTAATTTTCATGTCATGTCAATTTACCCGTGACTTGTCGAAGAAGGGAGTGATCATGAAGGCGAACATTATAACAGAGAAACTGTAGAGAACAACTAGAAGAAATATTGGGAGAAAGTGCGTATGCTGAAACATCTGTAGCGTGAACAGCAAGATAACAGCAACAGCTGAGAGCAGCAGGACGAAGATACCGTATATGATGAACCAGGAAAGCCTGAAAGAAAATGAGAATTTAACCTACCGACAGATTTTTGGAATCGGTTAGAAAATCTTCCACCAACCAGAACACAGAATCTTTTAATCCCATTATCTTCATCCCCTCTTTGATTTTATTTTCCTTCTCGCCGACAATAAGTATCAGAAGATACGTGATGAACTGAGATAAAGCCAGTACCATATAGAGTGGTATCACCACTCTAAAAGCTAGCATCCAATCTACAAGAGGATGGCTCTTAGTAAAATCCATTCGCAAACTATCGTTTATCGATTGAGCATAATTTTATAGATAAATATTTTCAATTTCTTTGCAAACACTCACTTGCTGTATAAGCTTCTTTGGGAAACATTTCAAGCATAACATCAGGCACTGAAATATTCGTGTTTGCAATATCCAGCTAAAATCAAATTAAATATTACATAATTATAAATTCAATTTTCTATTGCCAACATGATTTTTATATAGCTGCCATAAAACTGTCTACAAATTACCCGTATTTTTGTAGTTTCTATCAGCATTTGAAGAGCCATAAATCCGGAATAGATGTAATTGTTTATCGGACATGATCCTCCGGTTTCTATCGACAGGACACCACCCATCCAGTGGCTGGTGTTCTTACGACAGGTAACCGGAGATGAGAAGTTTTCCGTAGGTGATGGAGGTGATGGATAAGAAGGATTCGTTCTTATTTCGTATCTGAAAAGTAATGAAAGTAATTAGTCAATGCTATAGATAAGAAAGCAAATAAAGTAGAGAATTTTAGACAACATAAAAGTGGAGTGAATAAATGCAGAGTTGGATAATGTGTATAGTGTCGCAAAGCAGCAGTAGTAGTTCAAGTTAAGCGCCGGAGCAATAAGGTGGAATAAAAATAAAATGAATAAAAAATCTTAAAAATTTTATCAACTGAACTCACAGAGAGATAAATGTGAAACAGAGTACTCTAGTGTATCGAGACAAAGGAAGACACGAAACACGAGAGAAAAAAAGTAAAATAAATAAAGAAAAGTAAAATCAAGACTCAAATCAAGATGTGCGAGAATAGTTCTTCCAATTGACGTCAGTGGGATAGAACGAGTAACTTTGTGAACTAAGTATGAAGAGGGATGAAGAAAGAAAATTACGACTTAGCACGGAGAGACCTGAGAGAGTGAGAATTAACACCCTTGGATCTTCTACTCGTAATTAAAATCTCGATTAATGTGGCTATTCAAAGAAAAGGGGTTAAATAACAAAGACACTGCATTCAAGAGATATAGTCATATACAAAAGGAAATGAATTAATAGTGCTTTTTTACGTATTTCCTAAGGATTGGTTACTTTGACGTGTCTGAAAAAAATTTATAAATTCTATTAGACATAGAGACGTACGATAAATTATGGGATATTGGCTGTGGATTTCGAAAAATGACAGCCAAGGGTATGCTGTAGGGCTCCTTCCAGTATGCTGCCTGTAGATCGTCCTTGGTTTCAAAGACCATGAAATTTAAGGGTTGCTTCCCCGAATTTTCCGGCATCGACTGCCAGAGGTTGTTCATTGCGGTAAGGAAATTCTGTAACAAGATACAATTTCATTGACTGATATGTAAATTTCAGCAGATGAACTCTCATTAGGAGGGGGGGGGGTCCAAAGCTCTGCTCAGAAGCTACGCTCTCGGGTTGATTCGTACAGTTATGTCAAGGCTCTCGTAAGATTTCGTTATTGTTTAGTTGAGGTCGAGGTGCTCGAATCTGCCGTGGGGAGATAGTCTCGACGTACCGAGTTGCCCGGCAGAGGAGAGTACCCGACGGAGACGTCTCCACGGACCGGCAGGAGCCCGGGTGAGATACCGGCGCCCCGCTGGAGACGGGCAAAGGGCTGTAGAGCGGGCGGAGGGAGTTTTGATACGGTTAAGGGCAGGAGAGGAACCTCCTGCCCGAGTTGAGGATGTGGTGCCCAGCTGACGTCCGATGCCCTGGGGAAGCGGCCGTGGAGGATCTCCAGAAG